ATCACAGTTATATTTGTATAGTAATAGATTGAAGTGTTTTAATAAAAAAGTAATAATATTGAGCATGTTCGAATCGAGTAAATGTCTTAAAATCAAATAATGATATATCATAGTAAAGGTGTCTTTACAGATATTTAAAATTAATTTGTTCTGAGCCATATAATAAGTTAAATTGATTTATGATACTTTTGTATGTTATTTAAGTATAGGAACTGAAAAAAAAATGTATTACACTATCTGTCTTTGTTTTTTAGTCATATCTTATTCAACTATTTTTATAATATCATTGCAGCTGGGAGAAAGAAGATAATTAACTTTCCTCATGCTCAATAAGTAACTCCTAATAAATTCTATGACAATGTGAAAGTATTTCTGTCGTCCTTTACAATATAATAACATATTTTTATGGAATTACATAGAAGGAAAGAAATTCTAGGAGAATCATATGTATAATTTTAAAAGCATTTTATTGAAAACTTATAGTGCAACTTACAATAAGAAACTGTAACAGGTCATTAAAACAAGATCTATTGATAAATAGGTATTTTAATTGTTTAATATACAAATATTGAATTTAATTATTTAATAGAAACGTTTCTATATTTGTCATGTATACAATATTTTAAGTACGCTTTTGTAATAACGATATTGTAATAGTAATAATAATACAGGTAAATATAGTTTTAAGGTTGCATATTGCAATAGATTTTCATAGTTATAACTTCTAAATAATTTAATCTAATTGTAGTGTAAATTATTGTGGATAAAAATAAATGCATATTTTTCTATTTACAAAATACAAATATTGCCTATTTCTATCATCACAGATTCATATAATACCATTATGCCCTTAGGTCTTAAACATTCTTCTTACCATGTCCTCAAACTTTTGGTTTGCTTCTTGTAATTTAGCATCATAAATTAGCAATTGTTCTTTAGCAGCACGGTTATTTGGTTCTAATATAACTGCCTTTTTTAAATCAGTAACAGCCTTTTCTACATCTTTTAAATTTCCATATGCTACTCCCCTTCTGTATAAAGCCTTAACATTATTACTTTCTTTGTTTAACACCTTAGTACACAAGGAAATTGTGTGTTCATAATTTTTATGATTTAATTGACATCCAGCCATATTATTGTATAATATTAATCTTAAATTATTAATATTATTTTCGAGTGATTTTTCTAATTCTAAATCAGGTATCGGTTCTAACGTTATAAGTATTTTGCAAGCTCTACTAAATTTTCGAAATGCATCAACCCACCTACGTTGTTTGAATAAATCGACACCTGTTTCTTTATATTTTAATGCTATTGAGTATTTTGTTTCTGGTGTCCACTCCCAAATTGGATTATGCGGTTGCATTTTTGTTAATATTATTTCAAACTTTATAATTAAAGGTTGATCCATGTTTTCCAATGAAATATTCAGAGTAACTAATCTTTGTTCAAAAATATTCATCATTTGAATCACTCGTTCAATTTGGTAATCTATTTCACAATTTTCTTCGCCAATAACTATTAATTTTTCATTTGCGCCGTCTAAAATATTCGAATTAAATTTTTCTTTCAAGTCTTCTACGGATGCGTTAGTAACTTGTAGGTTTTCAATAACGACTTCGCAACTAGCACATTCTGTTAATTTTTTAGAATATTGACCAAATTTTATTATATCTGTTCGCACAATTTTGTCTGTTGATTCCCACGTTTTAAACATCATATTGAATTTTTTACAATTGCCTGTGGAAAATAACGATGTAAATTAATCTGTCAATCTGTTATGATTCATGTATGTAAATATGTTACATACACTTGTATATATTCTATTACCTTATTCATAAATAATTACACAAATAATTTTATGTTAAAATAGTATTTGAAGAAATATAAACAATAACCATTTCTCATACACTTATGGTGTACTTATACTTCACATAACCTTCAATTTCCGCTTGGAAAACAAAACAAAACTAGATGTCAAGAATAACATAAGCGCATGCGCAATTGTACATGATTTATCGTGAAGTTTCAAATTTGTTTTCTATTGTTTATATATATTATTTTAAATATGTAACTACTTTTTAAAAAGCTACATAATAAAAAATTGGTATTACCGATTTCTAGAAACTTTATTTACATCAAATTTAAATGAAACTATACAAGATTTAATCCAGTCCATTTTTCACTAACAGCCCACAACCATCTAGCAATATCATCGTTCTTTGCTTCTTCAGAAATATCTGCGACTTTACAGTTACTGTAACAAAGGTAACATTGAAATAACATTACATTTTTATCAACTACATGAGACCTTACCTAAAATAAACACCAGTTACATCTTGCAGAGACGGTTCTAATGCAACATATAAAATTGTCTGTGCTCCTTTTCTTGGTGTCTTAACAAATAACCACATACATGATTTTATAAACAATCTAGAAAAATAGTTTTGGTTAAATTTCATGTGTCTAACTATTTCTGTGTTCACTATACCAGGATGAACTGCATTCACTGCAATACCAGTTCCTATAATATATATGATATAGTAAAGAAAATAATAAATTAACAATTATACATACATAAAAAATTGCATTGATGTTATAACAATTATTAATTACCTTTCAATTTATTTGCTAATTCTCGAGTAAATAAAATATTAGCCAGTTTACTTTGACTATATGCTTTAGCAGGATCATAATTTATATCACTGTTTAAATCTTTCAGTTTAATTGTGCCTTTAAAATGGGCAGCGCTTGAAACATTTACAACTCTTGCTGGCACAGAAGTTTTTAAAACATCTAGTAACAAATTTGTTAGTAAAAAGTGTCCCATATGATTTACACCAAGTTGCATTTCAATTCCTTCTGTAGTATATCTCTTCTGGCATCTCATTATTCCTGCATTATTTATAAGAATATGCAGTTTTGAATGTTCTGAAATTATAAATGATGAATCTATAATATTCCATTTATTTTAAAGTTTCACAGAAAATATTATTCTATACCTGTTTTGAATTGATTCACAAAATGTCTTATACTTTCCTGAGATGCCAAATCACATTGTCTGCAGTAAATATATTTATTCTGAGTTTGTAATACTATTTCAGAACGTGCCTATAAAAGAAAAATATAACTAAATAAATGATAAAATAAAAAACAAATGATTATAATCAATGAAGTGAAATAATTAATATTAAAAGTGTTTTTAAAGACTATAACCACCTCTTCACATTTTTCCATGTCTCTGCATGCCATAATGATTTTAGCTTCACGTTTGGCTAAGTTACGTACTACTTCTTTACCAATGCCAGTATTTGATCCTGTTACTATAACTACTTTGTCTTTTAAGTTTTGTTCTCCTTCATAATCTGGCCCACTAATGTAATCACTGCAAATAACACAATACACAGAAATATTTGTGTTGCGTTTTCAAAATGTACTTTTTAGAAAAGTATTACATTTAGTACAATAATTTAAATATATTACTTGAGTAAATAAGCCCCACCAACGAGACTTACACCAGCTGCATAAATATAGTAAGGTTTTGGTATAGAAAAACTCATTTTTACAAATGTTTTGTAGGTATGAGTAGATGTGATTAAAAACACAACAGGTACCTAGGGTACTCTGAAGATTCTTTCTTCAACGGACATAACCTCTCGTAGCATACAATTATTTACACGTGCAAATAGTAAACTGTTCCAATTTCATTCAAAACAATCCAATCATAAAATAAATTCTTACAAGAAAAAAATCAGTGTTTTGTGAATGAAAATATGTCGATGTATGAAAATGCATCTTACGGATTATCTAATATAATTGTGATATAGTAATTATGAAAAAATCACTTATGAATATTTAAATTTATATTTAAATTTCTTTGTGAACTAGTTAATTGCATTTCTTAACAAATTATAAAAATAAAGAGAAGTTGTTTAATATACAGAATTCTTTAAGCCTAATTTCCAAGTAATGAATGTAATTAATACAATATAATTTTTAATTCAAAAATATACACTGTATATTTTAAACGTATATTTTTTATAAGTCTCGCATTTTTTGAGCTTTTAATATTAATATGACTAAGTCTAATGAAAGATTACATGATCTATCATAAAAATAATTTTTTAAATAACGAAAATTTTATAATATTCACTGTTTTATATGTTTAATTGTTTGTCTGGAAATATGTATTAAATAACAAAGATAAAAATTTGTTCTGTATTTATAAATAAGATTAGTAAGAGCACATATTTATAGTATATTACATAGGAATACTTATGAATTGCACTTTATAGTGTCAGACATCATTCTACAAGCTTCGACATCAATCAAATTGATAGTTGTGTGACGAAAGTTTGTTTTTGTTACAAGATAAATGTTAGCGACTTAAAAGTGTTTTTTTATTAAAATTATTTTACATCATATGTTACATTAAATTGTTTTTTGTTATATATATCGTAATTTATTATGTGGATGCAGAAAGTATTACGATTCACAAAGAATACAAACATATTAAAAAGGTCATTCATCCATAGAAGAACTCAGTTTTCACAAAAGGTTTACATATATAATTAAATTTAATGTTTATTTTATTAAATTTCCAACTGTATTTTAAGTGTCTTTTTTAAAAAAATATTCAAATAGTTTTTATTACTAGCGAACCCATCATTATGCATTCACAACAAAATTGTTTACTGCATCATCATTTACTACTATGGGAATATGGGGTCTTACGAAGAAAAAGAGTGAAAACGAAGTAATTACTACTAAGGAAGTTTTAATAGGAAAGGCTGATGCATTGTTTGATCAAGGAAATTATAAAGAAATATATGATCTATTATCAAATTATAGAGTAAATATATTTTCTTATAAGAGTGTGCCTTTAAGAACAGAAAATTTCAGAAGTATATGAAAAACGTTTTTATAGGACAGTGGAGATGTTGAAATTTTATGGCGTTTGTCCAGAGCATTATATAAAATGGCTAAAACTGCTACTGATATCGAAGGGAAAAAAATGGTTTATGAAGCGTATGATTTGATAAATAATGCTTTAAAAATAAAAGAAGATCATTGGGCTGTACATAAGTGGATGTCTATTATACTTGACAACAAATGTTCTTATGAAGGTATGAAAGTAAGAATAAGAGAATTATATAACATCAAGAAACATATGCTGGTAAGTATTCTAAGTATATACCTCATAAGCCATGTTTATTTTAACATTAAATGGAAAATAACTACAAAATTAAGATGTACAATGTTGTAGAGAGCTATAGAACTTAATCCAACAGATGCAACAACTATGTACATGTTAGGTACATGGTGCTATCAGGTTTCTGATTTAGCATGGTACCAAAGAAAAATTGCAGCTGTAGTATTTGGAGAGCCACCAACTTCATCTTTTGAAGAAGCTCTAAAATACTTTCAAAGTGCAGAAGAGGCTGATCCTCATTTTTACAGTTATAACTTACTAATGCTTGGGAAAACTTATTTAAAGTTGAACCAAAAGGAAGAAGCATTGAAATATTTAAAAATGGCAGCTGAATATCCAGCTAAAAATGATGATGATCATCTTGCTAAGCAAGAAGCGCAAAAATTATTGAAGGAAATGTGAAAACCAGAACAATCTTTTAAATAACTGCAGTAATGGTTAAGGGCACAAAGTAAATCTAAGAATCGGTTCTTAGGTATAAATTTATTTAAAAAACTACACATTTTTGATATTTTTATAATGATATTATCATATTGGTACATGATATAATAAGTACTACGTGTTACTCGTTTACGCAGCGCAATGTGGTAAATATTTTAAAAACCGCAGTATTATAACTAATCGGAGATATAATAATTGTACATATTATCAGTTAATGTATAACAACGTTGTTACAAAGAATTTTTGAAACATTAATTGCTATTGGTTAATCTATTGTTATAATATATATTGCAGCTTTTGATATTTTTGATACTTTTATACATGCACACCATTGTATCGTATGAAATATACATATATGTATATGTTTAAATGGCTTTTAATACTTCATTTCTTAATATACTATCTAAATTAATACTTTTACATACGTCTGAAGTTCAAAAAAGTTTGCGTAGAAAATGCATCGTCATTCATAGTATACAAAATTACAATTAATAATATCTAATATTAATATTAAAAATATAATAAGAAGTAAATATTGCACAGAAACATTCAGAATTCGAAACGACTATCTATCGTTCAATTTCATCCTCATCTTCGGAGTCCATTATTACTGGGTGACGCTGACTGATTCTAGGTCTACGCAATCCTTCATGCGGCATATTTGCTCCTCTCCAGACAGCACGGTGTCGCTGACGAGCATTGTAATGCATCATTTCTTGCCTTAACGCTTCTCCAAAGAAAACGTCTCGGTGTATGGTAAAATGTATTTTATGTAGTCCACATGGGCAGTCATTCTGAATCAGAATATGGTCCACCGGAAGGTGTAATACACGCGAATTGTCTGGAATCATCTCATGTTGCGCGGGGTTATATAGGCATGGACAATGTTCTTGCGGGATCATTTTTGATATGATATTCCACCAATCTGAAATTAATAAACAAAGTTGTAATAAAATCAATATAATTTCAAACATGACTGTATTGTCTATCATAGAACAGAAAAAAGGAAATATAATTTCAGAATAATTTTTAATACAAATATGTTTCATCCAGTTCTAATGAAATAATTATAACTATCTATAACATTTAAGAAGATATGAATAAGAAACGAAGAATTGATAACTATAGATATTTGAATTGAAATGTAATCGATACGAAATATTAGAAGAAATGGATAATGTGTCGTTACACTTACGGAGTTGGTATACTATGACACTTCCAGTAGAAAAACAGCACTGTCTCGAAATGCACAGTTTGGTGTACAAGCCGGGAATGACAACCCCAAATAAATCGGAACCTTATATAGTCACCGAGTGGGTAGAATCGTCACCATTGATGTGTGAATTATTGTCAATATTTGGTACACGATATATGATCCTTCTACCTGCTGTAAGTATTTTCCACGTGAGTTTCCGCTTTTTTCCGGCCCTCGGTCATAAAAGATTAACCGTGCACGGGAGCTCTTAAGCTCTTACTCAACTTGTTTGTCTCGGAAACGTTACTACCCCCATGCGTGCAGGTCAGTTTATCTACCTGCTAATCGTCACGTATATTCGATCTGTGGATGGTTCGGCCACTGTACAGTAGCCTGTTTTGGAAATCCAGCGGGTCAAAGTCTCAATTGATATATGTACAGAGTGTCCCGTAACTAGTGGTACACATTTTTTCATATGAAGAAAAGAAATTTTTTCTTTGTTTTCAAGAAAAATAATTTTGAATATTTGTCAAGTATGCGCGCACTTGATCTAGTTTCACCTCTATAGATTTCACTGTATTACTCTCTCGAGTAGAAGAGTATTTCTGTGCTTCTTGTAATGTTTACAAACATTGTCAACATGATGATATCTCTTCTATTGGTTCTACTTTCTTCTTATGTTTATGGAACAAGGGCTTTTAGTTTTGAAATACCGTGAATATACTCGAGAAGTAAGACGCTTTTTAAATGAGAATTATCACCGCTGGATCGGTCGCGATGGTAAAATACTTTGGTCGCTACGATCTCCGGACCTATTACCTTTAGATTTTTATTTGTAGGGTCATGTCAGATCGATTGTGTGTAATGATAACATAACGAGCGTTGTACAATTAAAACAAACAATTATTATAGCGTTTAAATAATTAAAATTGCATAAGGATACATTAGAAAACGCTTAGTGTAATTTAATAAAAAGAGCACAGTTATGTTTGCAACAACGTGGACATTACTTCCAACAGTTTATAAATTAGACGAATTCTTGAAAAGTGAGTACTCTTAAAATTGTGGTTTTGATTATTGACTTATTGGGCATATACAAACATTGACAACGTTTATAAACAAGAATGGAGGTGATCCGCAGTGAAATTTGTTAAGCTGAAGCTAGATCAAGATGCATGCCTACTGGACAAATTTTCAAATTTATTTTTTTCGAAAACAGCTTTATATGAACAAATTTTTCTCTACATTTTCAATTCAGTTTTTCACGTAGAATCTCGCCTTGCTAGCTTGTACCATCAGTTACGGGACACCTTGTATTTTTAATCAAGCAAAATCAGCTCGTATTAAAATTTTTCAAGTTCCCACCCAATGATTTCGATATTTATATTTAACGAAAAATTATAAAATTATGTAGAATTGCAAATATTTTCAGTTGAAATTTGTTAATTAAGACTTTTGTTCCTTTCGATTGTCGAAACAGATCATTGTACGCCGAGGGTATCACGTTTTCGGGTTTGCAACGAGAAGAATGAGAAAACGATCCAGGGAAAGATGCAATTCCATTTATTAGTCATCGAAGGAAGCAAATACATCGCTTACGCTTATAATTTACGCTCGCTTCTTTAATAAATAATAATTTATGTACTCTACGAGACGTGGAAAGCCTGTATAATAACACTGGGCCGCTAAGACAGCGATATAATTACGCTACCTTGATAAAAATCCATTAACGGCGGAGGTATTTTATTATCCTATTCGAAGTGTCCCGTTATGTAGACGAACAACGAAATTTATACAGTGTTGCTAGCTGCTTATTATTTACGCCGACGCAGTCGATTAGTCTGTAACGCGTGGAACGCGTTTCTTGTACCTACGTATTGCGTCATCGAGCTAACAAATACAGATAAAGTAATAGTCGCTTACGATCGTTAATGGACCCATCTCAGAAGGATAAACCTGGGTAACGTTTCGCTTTGAGTATTTTCGTGCATGGGGACGGTTTAGAAGGATTTAAGGGGAGGATGGGGACATTGAAGTGTTATCCACTCCTCGGAATACCTGAAGATAGGAAGTGAGGAAATTACACCGCTTAAAGGTCGTCGTATACTTAATCCTTTGCATTTGAGAGATGATTCTTAGTCATCATTTGATTTGATACGGTAAAATCGTAAAGTTTAATATTTAATATTGAAGTTTAATATTGAAGTATTCAGATAAAATAGTTTTATTTCTTAATTTATGTGTAAACTATTGTTAAATTAATTTCAACAAACATCGTCTGTTTCTCGACAGAAGATGTTGAATATTTCTAGCGAAAAACTGTCGAGTGCAAGGAGTTAATAACGCCGTACCCGAACGCTACCAGGTCAACGTCACCCTTCCGAATTTTTTTATACGTAGTTCAAACGGAGTGAATCCACCTGTAGCAGCACATTATCAGTGACTTCAATGGTGGTTGGAAGCATTCCTATTTGAACTACATGTAATAAAAATTAAGAAGTATGACATTGAGCTGGTTTCATTTGGGAGCGACGTTGTTATGTAAGTATGCGACGGCCCTAAACCTATTAGGGCATCTCGTCTCTAGGTTTACGTGGAGTGGGATACAAATACATACTGTATATTTAATGTAATAATACTTTCACCGAATATCTAATTTATAATTAAAATCTCGCGTCGACTTCTCAAGAAACTTGCTTCACGATTGCTTTAATTACATTCTCGTGTTTATCGTTAATTTCTTCGATTCTTTTCTTACATTTTTCAAGAATCCGAACATGGTAACTCGAGCTCTGTCGATCTCGGCATCCTCGAAGCCGTTTCTCTTCGGTCGTCGATTTCAAACTGCTCGAGGTGACACACACGATTTCATGATCCTAATTGTCGAGATACATTCACAGGCTACTGGTCTATGAAACTACGAACTAGGAGCATCGTTTGCTACGTTAAATAACAAATAGAAATTTTACAAAGCTTGCTGACTTTAGGTTCACGAGTTGATTAAATTAAGCATAGAATGAACGCTCTATCGGCTATCGTTATCATACGCGTTAACTTTACAGAAATTTCACGCTGAAACCAGAATTCAGTTGTTTTCAGCTGTGAAGCTGAAAGTTTGGATTGGTTTTCGTGTATTCGTTAATTGTATTTACATCGCTGCACGCCGAAGATACAAACACAATTAAAACGTTTATTTGCACGTATACTCTTCGGTACGCTCGGTACATGTCTCGCAATGCACTTGGCAGCACCAATGAAATTTGCATCTGCACTGCCACGTTCTCGTGAACTGGTGTGTGTTATAGCCGCGGCCACAGCACATTAAATCACATCCGTCTGTTCCTGGAAAATTGAGAAGATTCATGTAATAAACTTCTATTAATAAAGGTAGTGGATATAGCTGAAACCGTAGAATAAATATTGCATAAAATAATTTCATGTGGAACTAATATAGAGTAATTTCGAGTGAGATTACCCAATCTCATTTAGATTATGAAATTTCTATATAAATTGTTTAGGTGGTATACTTAATTTTGCATGGAAGTCTATTTAACTATTTCTCTTATATGTATTTGCTTTCATAAATATATTTTTCTTTTGGTATTAATGACTTTTATGAATAGTTGTTTAAAAAGAAAGTAGAAACAGAATTTTCCAATACTTAAGACATTATCCAAATAATGTTCTATAGCAGTGAATCTTTGATGCATAAAGTGCAATTGTTTATAAATTAATCATCTGGGAATCTATTTCTAAAATTTTGTCCACGAATCAAATTTTGCTTCCAAAATATTTGATCGGTGGTCGATTAATTTTATTTCATCAATTTTCTCTACTCTCTGTGTTAAGGAATCCATCATTTTGGCAAACATAACATATTCTGCGAAGTGTATTGCATTATTAAAACGTAAATGTCGTACATTATTTTTTCGATTATATTGGATATCATTTTTTATATGCATATAACGTTCAATTGGAAACTGAATCGATAATCAGTTCAATTCAATTTTGTTTTTACCTTTACTAGTACGATTACAATATCTGCCCTGCGTTCCTAGACTGCCTTGAGCCAAGTCCGGCTCGCAGTAATTAGGGGAAGGCTGCAGAAAAACCAGCTCGCTTCTCTTTGGAATTCTTTTCTGTCCTATGCCTGATCCGCCGCTAGGTTTCGTTCTCTTTAATACCAAGTGCGGCCGCCTCGGTTTACTGACTTTCTTCGGGGGTTGCCGGTCGTGTCGAGATTTTCCAATGTCGTTTGGCTTTCCCTGGGTTTTCGCGTCGTTGCCCAAAATTGGCACCATTTCCGCTGATGTCGAATGCATCGTGTCTAAACTCTGCATGAAATCAAAATTTTTATTATCATCATTTTTTATAATTGCCACCATAAGATAAAAAATCATCATATTATGTAATATTAACAGAAAATGTATACTCAATACAGAACGTGTTCAGCATTAGGTACCCACATATTTCGTGGAAAAAATTTTGGACACTACCAAACACAATACTGGTTCAATGAGAAATTTCCAATTGATGTCCAACTATTGGTACGATTGTTTCATATTACTAATAACGTGTGTTCCATAATTACCCATATTCAAGCTATTTTTTAGAAGGTATTTTATATTAAGCACGGTTACCCTAAGCTTTGGAACAGCAATATAAAATCGTCACTACAGAAAGGGAAGAATACAAAGATAAAAGTAAAATATAGCAGCTATTAAACTTACTCCCCCTGTAAAGCGGTAGAGAAAAAGAAAATTTTCTATAGAAGCAATAGTAATTTGGTGTACCGTAATTCTGCGTGAATATGGTTGTGCGGTGAAGTGGATCACGTTCGACCCAATTCTGTGAAAATTACCTGCATCGTAGGGGGTGGCGGCGGGGTAATTGCTACCACGGGCCTGGCTCTGTAATATTTTTTCATGAGGGCGTCGCCGATCTGGCGAAAACTAGGCAAGGTTCGCCAGCAGGTTCTCACGGTGCAAGAGCCGGACACGCCATGGCATTTGCATTCCGTTTGCAAGAGGGCTTTAACTATCTGCAAAGAAACAATGTTCGTGTTAACCGTAAGAAAATCGTGTCGGAATCAGTATGCACGTGCTGTGTAATTTTGAATAATTTGACATTTAAAATTACGCGGGGAACTTTGAACACTTATCGACGAAAGAACATATGATTATTCTGTTTGCACGACTCTTTGTTTATGAATACTTAATAGTTCTTTTACCGGGAAACAAAAGGATATAATGAATCATTAATTATTATCCCTTTATCGTATAATAACGTGTTAGACTCGCGGTGAAGACTTTAAATAGAAGAATAAGAAGAAATAAATTGAAGAAGCCTGAGAATATATTAGTAAACTGTGTACTTTAAAATATATACATTGTGAGTCAAGGAAATCGATATTCACTAACGCGCAATTATTGTAATATTGGCGGGTATAACAAATCGTCGGCTGTAATATTCATTTTGGAATAAATCCAGTAATGATTGAAATATTAATACGTTGACCGCCATGAGAATTTCAACTAATTTATATATATGCAATTTATTCTTTCACAGCAAATGTATACGGTATTCAAAATAATTATTAATCATTTGATATGACAATCCTTACATTATTGTCTAGTTACTTAGATTACTGAATATTTATTATTCGACATCAATGTTCTTATTGTAATTATTTTCAAGCAATTTAGCAGCTCCAGTCATTGGCGACCACCATGGCAGCCACCGTATTAAAGAAGCAAATTTGAAAATATAGGAAAAGACCAATCCGACGGATAAAAAGTAATTTAACTTCGATCGATGTTTGCAAGCGTTCTAACTGAAGCGTTCATCTGTTGTATTCATTGTGTATCCATCGAGGTACAGTTAAAAAACTGGTTTATATTTCAACATATCGACACAAAGAAACAAAGGGGGAAGAGGGAGAAAGAGGTTCGAGGCTGGTTGAAAAAAAATCGTCCGGTCATAAAATATGCGGTGCGGCGAGGCGATCGACGTTAAGAATAAATCGTAAGCCCCGCACGTCTATATGCATGCCGGATCAGTACGTACGCTCGCGTGGGGGAAAGGGAACGAGATATGCGCGTTTTTATTGCTGCTCCGATAATAAGGCCCATCTCGGTGAAGACAAGGAAGCTCGATGAACTTTTCCCAATTAAGACGCCGCCAGTACGGTTACCATTACCTGCGGCACAAAAGCGATCCCTTTGCGCAAACATTTCTTTTCGACTACATATTCTTGCCTCACAAATCCGCTTTACTCTGCGATTCGAGGAAACGAAGCCATTAAACGCAATGCTTAATCCTGGGTTTTTACAAATTTTTACAAATTCTTCCTCCCCCAATACGGATTTCAGTATAATCCGTGGTTAACATACAACTTTTGTTTTCTTTCGTAGCTACGTAGGTAATATCTATTTCAAATATTTATTTATACGAATTGATCAGGCAAAACGACCAATTCTTGCTTTCTCGCAATCTTTCCAGATTCTTTTTCGGTTGTTATTTACTTTTTCCTAAATAAAGATGCTGGAAATGTACTCCTTGAAGGGTTAATCTACAATTCCAACGTTTAAAATTCATTTTGAAACAGAGGTTATTGGAAGTTGTTAGGAAGGGTGTATTTTAGGCAGGGTAAATATCGGATAGCTAGTACATATTAACTAGTTTTGTTCGAACGTGTGCAATAAATTACACAAGAACAAACAGTTTTGTTTGTTTATTCACTTCTCTTCCTTATTTATCTTTTTAGAACATAGTAACTCTAATTTCTCCAGGAGCAATAAAAATTTAATTCTCAAGATTTGTATTAATTTCAAATAACTAAAATAATCGTAATTATTTATAATATAGTGCTTCACAATAAACAGAATATCACAAAGATTCGCGAACCCGCTGCATATATCGTTCAATTTAATAAAATTCTAGGGTTCTAAATGTCGTGAAACGATCCGAACAGCGGGATTAGACTTCAAGCTCCCTTTTCGCCTGTTGTGAACGATGAATAAGGCCGTGCATTATGAATAATAACAGGCGTTACTCACCTTCCTTCCAGCTTTATTATTATGGAGGTTCATCAGGCTCCTCGCGTCGCCCTCGACCTCCCGCGCGTCCAGAAACCTACGCGCGAACCTAACATTAAATTGTAATATTAAAATTCATGCGTGTATAACATCTGTCGTGACGTACAACGCGTCATGGAGGTTTTACACGCACGTGACACGTGCAAAAAGGTAGCCGCGCATGAACCGTCAACGAATTCATTACGGATCGAGTTTAATTATCTTACCTCATCCCGTAGGTAACGTCCGCGCTGCAGCCACCCCATTCCCAGCCGTTCGGTGGTAACTCCTTCCTCGTCCTGCGAAAAAGAGCATCGGTGAATAATAAACTCGTCTACCTCTGACGCGATTCAATTTCCTTCATATCCTTTTTTCCCGTATTGGCGTACACTCCCTTTGATAGTAGACTAAATGAAATCAATATTAGAATTCTCTTTAGCTTCTTTAATTTCAATTTTTTTCCAAGGATCCCTACGATTATTCAGAAAAAGTAAATCCATATATACATTCACGCAGAACATGTAATTTATAAGATTCGCTAAGAAAAATGTAACACCGGCTGGCTTTAAAGGAAGTAATAGCGAAATGAAAAAATAATTCTTGTTGTAATATGAGTCGTTAAATACCAGGTCAAAGTGATCAACTCTGCTTCTTGAATCTTATCAAATTTTCGTGCTGAAATGCTTGATTGCTTCTGTATATATGTACTTTCACGAAAGTTTGTTACCTTCTATTTTGTAATGTTAATCTGTAGATTTTTATACGCTCATGTGGGATTTGAAAGAGCAATATTGCACAGAGTACACGCGATACTGGAAAATTGATAAAATATCCAAAGCGTTGTACTTTTTATAATGTAGTTACAGAAAAGCTGTTTTCTATTGCAGTTCGACTTTTCTAATTATATTTTTAAACATTTGAGATTGCATAAAGAGCCATGGTCTATTTATCACTGTTGCAAATGAATGACTCATGCGTGGATACAGCGATACAAAGTAAACAGATCTTAACCAGAGCGAATAAAGCAGAAAAACGAAGAGAATAATTTACCTTACGGTAGGCTCGCAACCGCAGGCCGTGATGTTGCCCCTGCTGCAAGCTGCGGTCACAGCGTACGTTACACCCGCTGAACTTATTGCGTACGTGAAAGCTGCTTCCCTGCTTCCTGAAATAGATCAGGGAGAAATTTCCTGTTAGTTCTAGCTTCGAAGCAGGTCTGTCCAGTTTGTGCGGTAGGTAGGAAACGCGTATAGGGATTTCATGCTATGAGAAACATGGTTTACCTCCAAGGACAACGTAGTAACGATTATCAATCGGCAGGAAACATCGAAATGTAATTACATAATAACAATAACAGTTATTCGCGAGAATATGACACAGGACTATCCGTTTTTAACACGTTGACTGCCATGAAAAACTTCAGCGTTTCGTATCTCACTTATCTTTCGTCGCAAAGTTAGAAAGGAAAAACGATTAACTATTTACATCACAATTCTAACCGTACACTAGTACCTAGTAGTTTACATTATTGAACATTTTTACTCGTTATTAGCTGTTTTACAAATTATAATTGCGTTCAAATAATTTGGAAATTCCGGTCATCGGTGACTAAAGTGGCAGTCAACGTATTAACCCCTTGCTTTATGATTTACTTCTTAATTATGATCGATAAAATTGCTTTGCTGTTAATAATTTATTGAAAAAGGAAAAAAATTCTGGGCATACTCCATGCCAATGTTTGCTCTAAAGTATAATTATTGATAACAGAAGAATAGTATTTAATTTGAATTGAAAGGAGTTGAGTAATATTTATCCTTGTTAAATTTTGTTTGAAATCTTCACCTTGAGCTTGACGTTATTGCAAGGAAAGTGTTTAATCAAGAATTACAAACTTCGAAACTTTTCTGTATCTTTCCGAAAGAATAGTCTACTGAATAATTTACTCTTATAACTTTATAGATAGAGGATTCGGTATAAGACTGGTAGCAGTGAAACAAATCTCTAGTTTGAGAAAATGACTAAAAGCATGTCAGAATTGCATATTTTAACCTTATTTATTAACCAGGTTAGGATTAATCTGTTTTTCAATTTTTGTCTCTCTTTTTTATTTCTGTTTCCACTACGAAAAATTTGTCGTCTAATTTGTTTACCTTCGTTTTATAAGCAGTCAATTGACTAGTTATAGTAGGGATAGATACATTCAAAGTGTCAGTACGTTTAGTGTTAAGTAATTACAATATTTCAACCTTAAGAACATCTGTGATTGATATTGAATAAATATTTTCACTTGCATACTATAATCAATGTACAAAGAAACCGGAAAAAATTATTGTCAAATTTTTATAAGGATTACATGTTAATCGTATTAAACGTCCGGTAATTCTAATATTAATATTCCCCTGAGCTCGGATTTCGGTGCATTCGATGGGTAAATCAGATTTAATCCGAGAATTGCGCGCGAACCGATCAACTTCATTCCGGCGACAAGCATGATACATCAACGGTGCATGCCCACACTGTCCCCCGGCGTTTCCGTCACACTAATTTACAGCCATCCGACACACCATAGGGCCTGGTGCAAAGTGCGCGAGCACAATTAATTACCGGCGCGCAGCTCTTTCAGCTGGTTTGCTATGCCGAATGAGTTACCGCGCGCGCGTGTATACGTACGTGCGTTTCTTCCTTCCCTATGTGTACTCTCGCTGTGCCCCTCTTTTTTTCCCCTGTTCTTTTCTTTTCTCCTTCTCCTTTCTCTTTTCCGTCGGTCAGTCGTCGTTCCCCGACACCTACGCGATACTGTCCCGTGTCCGAGTTGATACGCGTTCCCTTGGCAGCCATCAACCTCGGCAGCCCCGGCTTTAATTCGAACGTCAGGGATCGGCCTCTCACACCGACGCCTAATTATCACCGCGCAATAAAACCGGCGGGGTCCCGTGAACCGGCCCCGGGGCCGATTACACACTTTGACAGTGCAATTTTCACGGTCGATCGGATCTTATCGGACACCGATCTCGCCCGTAACTCGACTGCCTGAAAGATTGTTTCAATTTTTAATCGACTCGAAAGACACCCTTTTCGCGAAAGTCATGGTACCAAGTTGAGACCATTCGTATTTCGGTTGAGTGTTATGGTATTTGATGGAGATTGGAGAACTTTGGAGAACGATAAATTGATTGATATAGGGTTTCTAAATTAATTCCCGTGAAGTAAGTTATTTCGAACTGAGATATTTTCCTCGTTGTTTAAATAGAAGACTAAGGTGAATGGACATTTAAAATCTATTTTATTTAACATTTCTGAAAATTTTTGTTCCAAGTAATATTCACTATTAACTTTTGTTTATTCTATTTAATAATAATTTAATAATAAATAATATTTTATTACCTAATATTTTATACAAATACGTACTCTTTTCTTTATTTAGAACCTAACATAACCTTTAATAAGGTATACATACACTACAGCTTTTATGCATTTCCAGGTTAAAGGAGAACTCATCAAAGTTTCGCAGTATCTTTATTTCATTTAAAATCCAACGACGTCTATAATGGAATGAATAAGTTTCTGCTTCATCTCAGATTCCGTATGGTCTTGGGAAAGAATTTACATTTTCCGCATACGCAAACTCGCGCGAGCATACGCTGGAACTGAACTACAGCATTGACGCATTCACAGTTTAAAGGAAAACTCAACAATGTTTCGTAACGTTACTTAGTTCATGTAAAATCTAATCGAGTCTTTAATGGAATAAATAAATTTCCGCTCAATCTCAGGTCTCTGTAAATTACGTCCCACAAATATACATTTGCATAAACATAGCCGGCCTACCAGATACTTCGCGCGAATCCCCTGACCACAATACGGTACCAATAATATCCAGTCAAAGACTTGTCAGTTCTATCAATTTTTCTCCTCCGCTTAATGTTTCAAAACGACACGGTTCTACCATTAAAGAAACCTTAAGATTACAAATCGGCTGTTGAGCAAAGATTCACCGTTTAAGTACATCGTGTCGAGAGGTAGTATATCGCAACGTTCGGAATCGCCTCTCCGTTGCGACAGAGTAATAAAATCGTTGGCAAAAGACGGACTCTTGTCGAGAGGTGAGATGAATCGTCGTTACACGGCGAAAATTTCGAAACGATACGATACGACTCGCGGAGTTCCCGTGATTCTTGCAATTAGAGATCTTCCTCCCCTTTCGACTTGTCCGATTTCGCTGTTTGTCGGTCAGCTGAGGAGCATCGAGATTGAAAAGATCCGGTTAACTGTAATTACAGCGAATCTTCCTACACGCGGTTGCACGATAATACTACCTGAGCCGATGTTTGTTATGCCCACGGTTATAATTCATAGTCACCGACGTGCTAGCGCGCGTGCGCGCGCGCTTCCCTCGTGCACTTGCATATTGTGAAAGTAAATATAGATGCGTTCGTATACGTACGAAAGCACGGGGAAGCACTTTCGCGAGTCATTCGGTCTCATTTTTCCCATTAGCCGCGATCACGATCGAGCGCGATCCCTGCTGTAATTATCTCGCCTCCCCATTCAACCAACCAAATTGTTTTTGAATAAAAACCTTCGGTTTAATGGCTTACGTTTTCTTTACGGCTACTGCGCCGTGAATGCGCGGCGACGCTATGTACGGGGTGGCTCGAAAGGAAAGGGGAAAAAAGTTGTTTCTGGAAACATGGTCAAAACTATGAAATTTTTATTTTATGTTAGTTTGTCTAATTTTTTAATTTGTCGATACATTCTCCAAGTTAATTTTTAGTCACTCTTATATTCTTTTTTTTTTAGGAGAAATGCGTTTTCATTTGGATATTTTAAGACACCTTTGAGAAAATGTTTAATAAATATTGTTCCGTCAACGATGATCGCGATTAATTTTCAAAATAATGTTTTCCAACGTCAAATTCCTTGTATACGATCTTTATTAAAGTCAGAGAAGATATCTCTGCGGAGAGTTATAGAATTCGCGACGGTTTTTACTTTTATTTGCGAACTTCCTCCTTCGAACGAATGACATTTATAATCCCCCGTCAGTGACTTCAACGACATTAAATAGTGATCTGAATTGTAAATGGCGTGCGCCGACTTTAAGATCATCTTAAAAGGCAGTGCAATGAAAATATTTTTCATGATGTAAAATAATTTTCATATTTTTCCCCATTTTCATACAAATGCTGTTAAGGAAGTGTTCCGTTGCCTGACTGTTACGTCGAAACGTGACAATCGTAAATCGGCATGACCGAAATTTCCTAATTAGAAATCAAGAACAAACTGAAAACGATTGCGGCGTGTACCTTCCAGTACATTAAATCAAGGGAATAATTGCGATTTAGATAACTGAGCGGTTCCTAACGAGAAACCGTATACCCAGATTGGATAGGAGCCGTGTCAACGGGGCCCTAAAAAAAGTGTATAATGCATCCTGCATCAACGTGAGAATACTAATCGTAAGGGTATGAATAATTCATGTTTAATAATAATATAGAAAAGTACGGCCGATGATAGGCGTGTATCCACTTTACATGCATTCGAAAAGTACCGCTTTCATCTTCACACATCAATTTCGCCCGCTGGATGGTATTTTTCATTAAAATTCTTGCGACGGAAAAGACCAAATCGAAGTTTCATTTCCCTCGTATTATTTCAGCGATTCGCGGTACCATAGGGATTTTATTGCAGTTGGGACCGAGATTGCGGGTGATTATTATTGTTGATTGGTATTTATTATTGACGATGTGAAGGATCCACGGTATTTTATTTACGATCACATTCGTTTCGATTTGTCAGGTCGTTTGTAACTATATAATAAGAAACAGGTCGAAGAAGATATGACAGTTTCGATGGGAGATTTTCATGCGTGGTAAAAATAGTTTCACTGAACTCAAATGTTTTTAACAAATTGAATATTTTTAATAAGAGGAATCTTAGATTTTTGATATATTTATTTTGTAATGGTTGATGCAAAATTCTTGTATGTGAGTAAATCAGTGTTTGAAACTAAATATGGGATAATAATGAAAAAAGTCTTACAGGGATGTTGTGGATTTAAAAAACAATATGAAATAGTATTCCACTCGAGCAAAATGAGTTTGATTTACAACAACCATACGGACGAAGCACATAAATAGTACTCGAAGAACTGGCTGGTACAAA